AACATTTTGTCTAATACAACATCGCATATCTTACCGCAGTCCGATAAAATTTTCCCTTAGCTTGAGCGGTACCTTTGTGTCACATAAAATCCCTAAAACTCTCCTCCATTTCAGCCACCCAGGTCTTACCGCAATCCTACATTTATAAAATTCCTGAAACTCTCCTCCATTTCAGCCACTCATGTTTACAAGAAAAAGGAACACCAGGTCGCCTGTGGTAGTGGTTAAATTTCCATGCAATGCATGTGCGGCAAGAAAGCAAGACATGACCAGCTGGCCTGACTGGTTCAACCATAAATCGGACTCAAGACCAGTCCGGTCAACCTATTCGATCAAATCTCTACTAGACTTCTATATAGTTGTCAATTCCAGATAGCAGAGGGACCAACCCCAAAAGTGGGATAGCACGGGGCGGCTTCTATTTGAATTATGGTTGTGCAATATGACCACAGCAGGATGCATAGTGACAGATGAGACAGGGTTTCTGGTTATCACCGGAAAAGGCCCTAATAACGGCTTCGTTTTAGCTTTTTAGTCATATTAAGTGGATCACATTCCAGTAGCATCGTGAAACAGGCAGTCGAGATGTGAAATCCTCATGCGGACGTGGCTGCGAAGGCCGCTAATTTATTTTGAGACGATAAGTTTATGGGAGAAGCCAACAGCCACACCACTACAATAGCGGCGCTTACAACTATGAACGGCTATATATAATATGTTCATTAAACTAGTGCATTGCTTATTTTACATTTTTTTATTTTGATTGATTAAAATATACTATATTATAAAAGTACTATTATACAAATAAATATATTTTTGAATTGCAATTTGCACTATTAAACACATAAAATTTCATTTTGTGAATACATATTACTTTATTTAAGTGGCATAATAGTTAATTATTTAATATATTACACAAAATTCAAAAATATATTTACTTAATACTTTTTAAAATTTTTTAATGTAATTGATAATATTTTGTATTTTTTTACAAAACCAAATTTATTTTGCATAAAATTTACAAAGTTCAATATACACAACAGATTCTAATATACACTATTTGTTATTATTTGCCAGTACAGCAATCTAGGACTAGAATCAAACCAAATTGCCACAAGGCATCAAAATCCTATATGATTCATATGAGCTGCGGAATAGGAAATAATCATAGGACACAACACAAGTGAACAATAATAGAGTAGAAAATAAAAATGCTGACTTCAAAGACATACCTTCAACAGGCCCAAAAGAAATGTTGGCATCATCAATACCTATACAGTAACATAATGAGTCAATAACTGTTCTTAAAGTCGAAATGAGAGAAATTGTAACTGGACAAACATCCAAATGTCATGACTCAGTAATGACAACCAGGAAAAAACAACTATGGATTCACTTGGGTTGGGTGTGATGATTCAATAGGATAGGAAGTCCCCTTGAAATTTTCCAAACTGCATTGATTTATACACGCATGTATCAAAAATCATAAGCATAGGGAAGAATAACACAGCTATAAAGCCTAATATCAATTGATATGGGCTGAGGATCACTGCTTAATTTGATTTCCAAACAGACTACATATACAGTTCTTTACTCCTTCATATCAGCAATTTTAACAAAGATGCACACCTTTTGGGACAGGATTTGTTGGAACTCGGAAAATGTAGTTATTAAGGCAATTAGTTATGAAAAGAATAGTTAGGTTTTAGCAGTCGGGCATTTTATCGTATTATGTCCACTTCGCAGGACAAGAAACTCAACCTAATATTCCAAGCCATAATTTGAGAAAGATGTCAAATAAGCCCCTTCTTTTTGGACCAAATATGTTATAATTGGCAGACTGCCGACTCTTTGGTTTAAGTAATGCTAGATACACAACTTCTTTAACATGAACTGCCTATGCATCTGTGCCAGAAGTCAAGTGTTTTAATTAACTTGCCGTATTTAAGTTTGATGCCCTCGCAATTCAAAAGCTTTTAACACTATTGCTAAACATGAGTTGTGCAGAATAGTACGAATACTAATATTATCACATTGTTTAAGAGTAAGCCTGTAAATTTGCCAGTACAAAATTCAAAAAGGCGACACATTGATCCCAGGGTACGCACAAATCACTTTAGTCCCTAAAAACCCCAAGTACTGGCCATATCAGTCCGATGTTAGGGACTAGAATAAATTTTTACATTCTAAAATATTTTCTTCTAGCCTGTTTATTTTAGCTCTTGAGAACTCTCAAGAGTGGGGGAAATTCTCATCCTACAAGCCGATTTTGTAGGGTTGAATTAGGCTCAACCACAACTCTTAACATGGTATCAAAAGTTTAGTTTAAGATCCGGTGAACCACCTGCTATTAGGTTCCAGCTATCAGGTCACCCACCATTTATTTCCACGCTCCAAATGTCTAGTCCTAGGCATGAGGGGGTCTGTTAAGAGTCTCACATCAGAAAATATATGGTTTGATCGTGTGCTTATAAGTAGGGGCAATGCTTACCCTACAAAGGGTTGAGTTAGGCTCAATTACAACTCTTAACAACTTTCTTTGGTTAAAAGTGCATCGCTAAGCAACTTTTCTGCATGCTTCCACTAGAAATTTAAACAAACCGGCTTCACTACAGACAAGATGCCACACCACACGCTTGAAAGCCTAAATAAGCACACTTGTCAGCCACCAATTTTGGGTACAAACTTGGGGTTTACTCCATTTCTTAAAGATGCCTAACTATAAGATTGACTGATAGAATGTTTATCTAAAAAGATAGATCAACAGTATAAAAAACTTTATGATACAGTGCATCAAAATTTGTACTCAAATAAGCATGATTGCATATGAACCAAAAACATAATCAATTATCCAAATATAGCATAAAATCAAAAGTTATCACTTCAACATCCAATTGAAGAAAGCTTTATCAGAAACATTCCATATGAACCAAAAACATAATCAATTTACCTTTATCAGAAAACTGCATGTAAGAAGCTTCAACTTTAGAAGTAGGTGTAGGACTCTTATACTGAGTACACTTATTCCTATCTCTTAAGATCTCATCAATCTCTTTGTAACAAGACATTTTCCCAGAACCACTTCCACCTCTGTCATGATGCTTAGCTTTCTTAAACTCCTTCAAAAGATTCCTCCATTTATCAGTACACATAGTCGGCGACCGATCGAAACCCTTTTCCCTCATCTTCGCCGATATCTGTTCCCAAAGATGCTTATTCGACTTAGAAGTATTGAAAAGCGAATCCATCTCGCGTCGGAGACCAATGAGACTCCGTGTCTCGTCTTGTACCCAAGTCTCCGCTCGTTTCTTGGGGGCTTTGATCTCCATCTCCGGGTCTTCGCCGCTGCTCTCTGCGCCGAGAATCATTTGCGGCGGAGGTTGTTGCTGTTGGAGGTGGAGCTGCGGCGGTTGAAGATCGTTGGTGGTTACTACTTCCATCATCATGTCGCGTGCTTCTTCTTTGTAGAAATCGATTGGACGAGGCTTTTCGGATGATAAATACATTACTTGGAAATTGATTTTTCTGCGATTGTTTTGGAATGAATTGAAGAATTGTTGAATTTGTAGTGAAAGAGTAATGGGATTTAGCTAGGTGAAAAATTGAAGTAGCGAAGAAAAAAAAGTTGAAGGTGAGTTTTGGGGTTTGTGTCAGCGTGAAGTAAAAGCTTTTGCTTGATGTGTCAAGGAGGATTGGGTTGAGGTGGACATGTCTGTCTCACTGTCTCTTTATGATGAAAAATTAAATTAAATATTCTTTATATTGTATTTCTTTTATATTAATCTATCATTCTTTTGTGAAGTATATATCATATATAATACAGTATAATCTCTAATAATAAGAAAAACAACTTTGCCCTTAATATGAAAGAGGTGTGTTTAATTCATGAATTTAAAATTTATTTTTAGGAATTTGTACGGTTTAAAATTATATTTTTAGGTTTGTTTTAACTTTGATATTTTTTATTTTCATGTAAAACGGTGGGAATTTTACATTTTTATGGGTAGGGTTTTCTTTGGTTCGGATCGGTCTGGGTATTTAGGGTTTCGAGAGTTGGACTGAAATCTTAATCGGGTAAACTGGAATCAGACTAGAACAGTATTGGTTAATTTTCTGAACTGAAACTGATCTGATATGTTCGGATAAACCGAGACCGGACTGAATAATGGATGATTTGTTAATGGAGAACCGAGATCGGACCGATAATTTTCGGTTCGGATATTCATACCACTTGAATTAGAGACGAAAAATTAAATTAAATTTTTTAATTTCAAAATTCACAATAAATTTTCATTACATTAATTTTCCAGATTCTCATTGATATTTGACATTACATGTTCAAAGAGAAGTTAATGTAAAAGTTTAAACCTTATTCAAACATAAGTTATGAAACTTATGTTTTAAAAAAACACAAAATATCATTACATTTGTTAATGATGCCTTAGAACAATCTCATCATTGACATTGAAATTATATATGCTCAAGTTGTTATTGTCGAAGAAGCGACAGTCGGATCTTCACCAAAATGATATGTTAAAGGTTCATCTTGTGGTTCTTCAAGCTACAAAAGTTAAAGGATAACTTCATAAGCACCACAAATATAAAAGCAAAAGCCATATAAATATTCAATTAAAATAGACCATAACCAAAAGTTACTTACAATACTAGTAGTGTTGTCCTTTTTAATTTCATACTTCTCCTTCACCCAATCACCCCCACAAATTACCATTTCAATTGTCTTAGTTTTCATATAAGATCGTTTCGGATCAATAATCATTTTACCAGCACTAAAAGTTGCTTCTGAAGCAATAGTTGTAACTGGAACAGTTAGGATATCCTTTGTCAATTTACTAAGAACGTGATACTTGGCTTCATTCCCCATCCACCGTGTTAAAACATCAAACTTAGCTTTAGGGGGAACTTTCAAGGGAGGCTCCTCAAGATATAATTCAAGATCAGATTTTGAATTAGTATTACCAACAACAGTTTCTAAAAACATCTCAAAACTCCTCCTTTCCCAACCCAGAACTAGATCCTACTTTTGGAGTTTCAGATACGGGGACATTCTCATCATTGGTTCCATAGGTATCTTGATACAATTGGAAGAGTGATTTTAAGTTGGTTGTCAACTCTTGTTCATAGGCAGTGGCTTGAGTAGGATTGGGATACAAGAAGGGATATACACATTTGATGAAGATCATTTTATACCTATTTGAATAAGTAGAGTTGTCAACCAACTTAAATTCATATATACCTATTTGCATAATTTATTTTCAACATGTTCGGCCTTAGAATTTGATTTCATCATAGGCAACTAGTCACAAGGAGGTAAAAGAACTGGTATTAGACACAACTAAAGTCATAAGGAGGTAACATAATTGGCCTCAGAGACTACTATAATTATATCAAGCAGATCAAATAGAATTCATCATAGGCACAATTAAATCACAACTCACAAGGCAACATAATTTAATCCTATGCACAATTGAGTCACAACTTACAAGGTAAGATAATTGAATCATTTCACAAGTTGATCAAACAGAATTCATCATAGGCACAATTTCATCACAACTCACAACAAGGCGATATAATTCATCATAGGCATATTTCATCACAACTCACAACAAGGAAACAGAATTCATCATAAGCAACATATGAACAATTGATATAAACAGAATTCACAAGCAGTTCAAACAGAAGTGGCCTCAAATACCATCTCATGGGCAACAAAATTAATCATAGGCCAAGGTTTAATCGCAAGGCAACATACCAAGCAGAATAGTAGCTACCTAATGTACAATACGATGGAAACTTAATTAACTATCTACTTGTAAGTTGTATATACCTTGGATTAAGAACTGCACCAATAGAAATCAATCTATTAGACTTTGAACAATACTTGTCATATTTCAACTTCATTTCATTAGCAAGCACTTGCAGTTGAGGATTATTTGAGATGCTTGAAGGTTTATCAAGTAGAACCTTCACCTTGTAAAGCTCATCCAAAAACAAATTAGCAATAGGGTAAGAGGTGCCACTAATAATTGATGTAATATCAGCAAAAACCTCCAAAAACTTGCCAACATCATGAACATCTTCCCAATCATTTGTATCAGGCAAAAAGGTGAGAAATGCATCATTTTCTTCGGCATATCTGGGCCAGAATTCTCTATAGTGGTATGCAATGGACAACATCAACCAAGTTGAGTTCCACCTTGTCTCAGTATCTAAAACTTGCATCTTGCCTTCAAGTTACAACTCACCGACAATTTTTTTGAATGCAAAGCATCTAGTTTCAGAATTTAGCAAGTATTTGACCCTATTTCTAATCTTATCAACAGTCACCTTGATCATATCAATACTATCCTGAACTAACAAATTTAAGATGTGCGTGCAACATCTCACATGAAACAATTTACCATCCAATGATAGATTTCTCCTACCAGAATAATCTCTCTTCAATATAGCAATGCAACTATCATTGGCACTAGCATTATCAACTGAAATTGAAACAACTTTATCCCTTATGCCCTAATCATCCATGACCTTAATCAATTCCCTACACAAAACCTCACCAGAATGTGGTGGTGGCACATTCTTAAAAGATAAAAACTCTTTTGTGAAGCTGCTATTTTGAATCAATGAAATGACCAATCACGGTCATATAACCAATTTTATATTCACCATACCACCGCAGATCAGTTGTAATACTGATCTTGTTAATCAAAGACATAGACTTTTTCATCTTAACTCTCTCATTCTCATTGCCTCACTGTTACACCCTAATTTTGACCCTGAATCGCCAACCATACATATCATTTCACTTTCATCATCTGTGCATCATATCCATCATTTAAGTTATCTAACCAGTATGCCTCTGAAAATATGTGTCTTTTACTTGTTGCCTAAGCTCAAGTTTTGCAAGATTGAATCAAGGATCAGGCAAAATTATCAAGTCAAGTACGTGTGCAGTCTTGGTTGAAATTCAGTGGAAGTTTGACAAAATCTTGGTGAAACAAATGATTTGCTTCAATATTAGACTATCAGGTTGTGGCAAAGATTCTGAATCAGGGATTTGGTTCTCCACGAGTCATTGTTTCATCAGTGTGCATTCAAGGCGGAGATTAGGGTTTCTCGGCCTTTGTGAGCAAATGCAGTTCAGTTGAGTTTCATTTGAGGCTAGCAAGTTCAATTATCAAGTTATTAGACTGTGGCAAAGGTAGTTTATTGTAAGGTGGATAATCATCAGGTACACTTTTCAATTAGGGTTTTGGCGCAATAGTAACAGAGTTCATATCTTAAATCATCTGTGTCATGGGTTACTTTGAGGACAAGTGTGGATTGAATTCAAGTACTTGTGTTTGAAGATCCGGATCAGGATTTTTTGCTAAGTTCATATTTATCTGATAAAGTCAAGTCGCAGAGCCATCAAAAGTCAATGCACATGGTCAATATATCAAGTTATTTGTGGTTCATGTTCCGGTCATAGGAGAATTCAAGATTTCCAATATCATTTCAATATGGAATAAGGATGTGGCGTTGATTTAACATCTCAATGCCTTTCTGGTATGAGTTTAATGAAGAGTTCAAGACGCTGAAAGTTTGGTTTCGAGGCTGATTTTGTTAGTTCAAATCAGGAGTGTCTTTTATTCAAGACTTCAAAGGTCATAATCAAATTTCAAGATTCAATCTCATGTCAAGTCACAATCTTATTCAAAATTTTGACCTATTTAAAATTTCAAGTTCCATTCAAGTTTTCACATTCATAATTCAATTTCAAGTGTCACTCAAGATTTCAAGTTGCATTTCAAGATCCCACTCATGACTCAAAATTTCAAATTCCAAATGCATGACAAAAGTTTCAAATTCCAATTTATGTCAAGTTTCAATTTTATTCCAGGTTTAAATGTCCAATTTGTTTTTTAAAAAAATAATTCTCACTCAATTCAAGTCATTTCATTTTTTTCTAATTCAATTCCACTTCAAGTTTCATTTTTCAAATTTCAAGTCTATTTCAAGATTCAAGCTTTTTATCTAATTCAAGTTCAAGCTCGATTTCAATTTCATCTCAAGTTCCTTTCCAAATATCAACTCATGCTAAATTGCCTAGTATTAATTCAAGTTCTATTTTATTCCAATACAAACAAGTTTCAAGTTTTAATAAATTTCCAATTGTTATCAAAATTCAAGTTTAATTTCAAGTTTCCCTTCTAATCATTTCCAATTTTCAAATCCATTCAAAAGTCCAATTTCAATTCTATCTCATGTCCACGTTCAATATCCAAGTTCATTACAAATCACAAGAAGCCCAATTTTTTCTCAAAAGCTAAATTTCATGAAGTCCATTACAAAATTCATATTTCTAAAATAAAAAGTTATAGGGTAATGGAAATTTTAAAAGAAAAATATACAAAAACCCATAACAAGTTGGCAGAGTTACAAAAAAAAAATACAAAGTTTTCTTCATAGCCAAGCATGGCCCACCCAAACCCATTGGCAGTCTTCATTAGCTCCCAAGTTGCTTCATGACAAGCCATTTACCAAAGCCACTTCCGTACACTGCCTTCAAGCACCTTCCTTACACACATTCAGCGGGCCGCGCAAAAATAAATTTGTCAATTACCACAAGAACTGTGTACCGTACAACCTGTAAAAAGGGTCAATACTGCCTCAAACCTGCAATTGCAGTTTAAGCATGACCATACCTTACCTTCAGCTACAAAGCCGCACCTTAAGATAATTGCTACCCTTCACGAAAAATTGTACGCAGCCCAGTCATCGATAGGATCTGGAGAGGTAGTTTTTCATACTTTGAAATGTCGCACATACTAACATATTTGTGTTTAATTCCTGCTTAATTCCACCATTAATTATCTTTCCCTATCCATGAGTATGTGCATAAATCAGCGTGTCCTCGATATGTTTGGTTTTGTTCATGGTCACTGATTGATTTGAATTTACGGATGATGTTTCCTTCCACATGTCGTTTCTGGAACCCGTTAGCATCTAGGTCTTGTGTCTTTCTTTGGTTGTGTGATTGAGGAATAGAAATCTATGAGAGGGAATGAATGAGAAAAATCGAATAAGAAGAGAGGGAGGAAAGTTTGTTTCTCGTTGAGACACAGTTTGTTCTGTTTTTCGTTTCTTTCCTACAAAGAAGATGAAGCGGCCGTTAGTAGATTTTTAGGGTTCTTTTTTTAATTTTGTCAAAGAATGACAAACCGGTCTGTTAGAGGACCCGACCCAATTTACTCTCATCGACCCAGCCCTTATTGGGCCTTAACACCTTCCCCCATGTCTGACCCATGTTTAAATTAGGAGAAACCAAGGTTTTTGTTTACTTCTAATTAATTTTAATTTAGTTTTATTTTCTAAAATTAGTTTTTTTTTTTGTTTTGATCTAAAAAAAAAAGAACAAGCAAGAGTAGTAAGCAAAGAATGAATTTATTATTTAAATTAAATACATTTATTTAATATTAATTAATTAAAACATTAGCTAATTGTATCAAATATCTAACTTTTGTGTATATATAGTTTTGTGTGATTTAGTATGTGATTTCTAAACGATTATCTTGATAATGTCCTAGTCATACCGTATGCTCATATTGTGATATTGTTATTCTAAATCCTATTCTAATTTTTTAAAAACTTTTTCTTAAAGAAAAAGTAGTGATTTCTCTATTCACGTCGAGCCATTTCTTTCACCTGTATAAGTCGATTGTTTTTTTTAAGTATCACCATCAACCTTTTGGTCACTATACACAACATTTAAAGCTTACTCCTGGACTTTCTTACAGTGAGACCTAATTGATCAAGTATCTCTAGTTGGTCATTTAGAAGACTAGTCCACTTTGCTAGTATACACGATTAAAATTCAATTCTTGCGCTTTCTTTTACTTGCTTGGTTATTTGAGTCGAAACCTTAAGGTACAAACCATACCCCTTGTAAGTCGACTGCCTCGTGCGTGGCCATCGACCTTATCTTATGTCACTAGGACCTCCATTTCCATTTAGTTCAAACCATTAACTTTTCCATACACAAATTTAACGTTCGATCAACATCGAGCATTTTCTCAAATTCAAATCAATTAACTTAATTATATTTAGACTATACTTCAATAAAAGATGAAAAGAGAGAGAATCGGATCTTCGATTCACTTCCCTAATTGTTTAGACCCGAGGAGCCTTTCTTAAGCTTAAACAATTGTCTTCCTTAAAAGGTTTATGATTCAGTTAAACCTATTTTCTCAATTACGTAGATGAAAAAGAGATAAAGTCAAGTCTTTGACTCATTCTCCCGATTACTTGAGCCTGATAAGCCTTTCTTAAGCTTCGAGTAATCGTCATCCGTAACTTACTCTAGCTATATCAAAACTCTTTCATAATATAAGATGAAAAAGAGAAAGAGTCAAGTCTTTGATTCGTTCTCCTGATTACTTGGGCCCGAGGAGCTTTTCTTAAGCTTCAAGTAATCCTCATCCATTTAAAATACTTTAACTATCTTCCATCGAAACATTTTCCAAAACATAACCTCTTTTCGAGATGAAAAAGAGAGAGAGTCAAGTCTTTTACCCACTCTCCCGATTATTTTGGTCTGAGGAGCTTTTCTCAAGCTTCAAGTAGTCGTCATCTAAACAAAACATCAACGCATTAGTTCAACTTCTCACCGCCGTGCGAACCGTCAAACATTTTCATAAACGTGAGATATGGCATCTTGAGATGACGCAAAATATTTCTTCGTCCATAACCTATTTGAGTCGAGATAAGTGGCGTGTTTCCCATAAATGTTGATATACGGAAATCCATTCAAAGTGATGCAAGCGTCCTCTCCTCACCCGTTTGGGTAAAGCAATATTTCATGTAGAATGCAACTAAGTATCTCTCGATTAAAATCAAACCAACATCCGTAGTCCGAACTACAGACACTCTGATTTCTTATTTGTCAATGAGAATACGTAGGCATAGGATTACGAGATCCTAGCGAACAACCTCTTCTTTCTTTCTCCTGTAGTTTCACGAACTACGGACGCTCTGATTCTTCACTTATTTCAAGTGGAAATACGTAGGCACGGGGACCCTAATCCTTGGCGAGCACCCTAATAAAAAAAACCCTTTTATCTTAGCAATCTAAATCCTTTCATCTTACCTGTTATCTTAGAAGAAAATAAACAAACAAACCTAATATTTCTCACGAATCGAATCAAGAGGTTCCCGTTGAGTACAACGGATGTGAGGAGTGT